AACCAATATCAACCATTTTCTTCTTATTATCTTTGGTATCTAATCGACAGATTTCATTTTATCATTGATGACATTCAATCAATTTTAACATTTACGAAAAACACTTGTTTTAATGAATTTGCGAACAAATTTATGAACGAAAGACAAAAGGCTGAATTAGAAGGAAATAAAGGAAAAAGTTTATTTCGTAAGATTTCGCTTAATGGATCATATGGTTACGATGCAATGAATACACAAAATTACGCAAAGACTAAAATAATGAATGCACAGAAGTCACGCGTTGCATGTATGTCAAATAAGTTTAAAAACATAAGAGAAATAGGTGAAGATACATATCAACTGATGCTTAAAGATAGATTTTACAGATGTGAAACATGTTTACAAGAGGCATTCTTCACTTTAGATAATGCTAAATACTGGTATTTGGTTTTCATTTATGATTTTATGTATAAATGCATGAATGTTAATCGTTTTCATTTCATTGAAGGTGATACTGATTCATCTTATTGGGCAATCGCTGGCGATCCAAGTCTTCCTAACACTCAAGCATTTCAAGCAATTGTAACCGATAAAAAATTTTATGATAAAAACATTTTCAAATTCGCACCTTTTGATTTCTTCTGTTTTGATGAGAAATTTAAACCTAAATTAAAGAATAAAGCTGAAGAAAAAGCACATGAGAAGAAGTTATTGGGTTTAGCAATTGAGAAACAAGGTGATAACATGGTTGCTTTATGCCTAAGTGTTATACATCATTCAACGGAATGATTGGTGAAGACTCCTTCAAAAAGATTGCACAAAAAATGAAAGGTGTTAGTTTACGACAAAATAAGCAATTAACACCTAAAAATTATTTGGATATAATAAATGATAAAGTGATATTTGATGGTCAAAATATTAATTTACAACTTAAAAATGGGTCAATGACTCGCTTAACAATTGGTAAGACTGCATTAACAGGAGCACACACTAAGGCTGTATGTTGTGAAAATGGATGTTGTATGCCATTTATTTAAAACACTTATTTTATTTTTATATAAATGAATAGCGTAGATTTAAAAAATTTAATTGATGATTTAGTATTTAATCAAAATTTTCTTAATTATTATGAATTAAAAGCATATCTCCAAAAATATAATAACAATATAACGGGTGATGATATGGAATATTATTATCCATATTATAAAAATGAAATTTTGAAATATCATAATAAAATAATTTCTGAAATTAAAGACAAAATTAAAAATAATGAATATTCAAAGGGAAAAACTAAATCACAACTTAAACAGTTGAAAGATTTCAAAAATAAAGTATTAACAGAAGAAGATATTGATGAATTATATAAATTATATAATCCTGAGCCACAAAAACCAAAGGAACAAAAACAAAAGGTGCAAAACACCCAGGTTCAGCAGCTCATAAATGATGCACAAGCTTTAATTTATGATTCATTAGTTAAACCACATTCAGCCCGACTTTTAAATGAAGATCAACTTTTGGAATTCATCCTTCAACATAAACTCGAAGCGGGAAAGTATATCAAACCTTTATATACAGCATATTTAAAACAAATGAATAGAATACATCCAGAATTAATGAAGGAAGGAATGAAATCCAAAATCAAAGCAGATAAAATTAAACCACTTGCAACACCAAAACCTCCAACAGTAGTACCTCCTCCTCCTTCAGTTAATCCTTCATCATTCACTTTATTATATCCATTTCAAACATTTAAGAAGCAAAAAGATTTTAAAAAGGATTTCAAGATATTAAATAAACCAATTGACCCGAAAATTCAACCGTTAAAGGAAAAATTTAGTCGCCCTTCATTTGCACCATATCCATATTCATACGAAATTGATCATCTGGAATATTCAAAAGGAAATATTACTTATTTATTTGCCATTAACATTAACACTAGATATTTATATTGCATTCCGGTGAAAGGGAAAACAGAACAGGAAACAAGAAGAGCTATTCAATACTTACTAGATCAGGAAAGAGTAGATAATATCAGGGGTGATGGTGATAAAGGATTTCAGGCAGCTATGACTCATTATTTCCCACAAATTAATTTTTACTTCTCATCCTCTCCATATACGTTTCATAATAAAATAGTTGATGCGGTAATGAGAACTCTTAGAGATGCGTTAGGGGTTAACGGTCAGATATACTGGGATGGAAATCATGACTCCATCATACAGCAGTTAGTATATTATTACAATAATACATGGCATAGAACTATTAACATGAAACCAGTGGAAATGAAAAATGATATTTCAAAAGAATGGGAATATATTAGAAAGCAAATGGAAAGGTTGAATGATGTTAAACGTGAACAAATTAATTCGGGTTCATGAATTTTAAACAAGGGGATAAAGTTTTGATTCATCTCGATTATGGAAAAACTGATAAATCAATGACAAAAAGAAGACGAAGATTTGACACAATAGCTGAATTTGTTAGATATATTAACGGCAATGCATTAGTTGAAGTTGACAATAAATTAATAGAAATTCCGATTTATTTTATTACTCCATTATATTTAAATAATATTTAATTTTTTTATTTCGTAAGAAATGAGTGACAACAAAGCAGTCAAGAGTCCAGACGATGAATATAAAAAGAAACTAAACAGAATTAAATCAAAAATATGTTATTACAAAAAGAAGCCGCAATGTGGTGAGGTTGAAAACGATAAAGAAATAATCGAAAAATTAGAAACTTACCGTCCAATCATTAAACTGAGTGAAGCAAAAATAAAAGAATTTAATAGAATAAATAAATTGGTTGGAAGAGATGAATTTAATAAAGATGAATTTTTAAACTCTATCCAAATTTAATTTTTATTCCTCTTCGACAACATCTCTCTTTCCATCATTACTGCATAACCGCATTTTCTCAGTTTAAGTGGTTTGTTATTTTTAGCAAGTTCTCGCATCATTTTTATCATTTCCTCCCTTGTTATGATTCGTGGTAAATTTTGAGCTTGTGGGGTATTCATTTATGATAAAAATAAAAATTTAAATTATGCTGTTCTAAAGTTTGTGACAACATGACATTTTGACAACAACACGAGAGGAAGGCAATAATGACTTATTTTTGAAGAACTGAAGGTGTCACCAGGTTGTCATGTTGACGACATGACATTGTGTCAACAACACGAGAGGAAGGCAATAATGACTTATTTTTGAAGAACTGAAGGTGTCACCAGGTCACCATGTGTCACCAGGTCATTTAACTTCTCTGAAAAAATGTGACAACATGACATTGTGTCAACAACACGAGAGGAAGGCAATAATGACTTATTTTTGAAGAACTGAAGGTGTCACCAGGTCACCATGTGTCACCAGGTCATTTAACTTCTCTGAAAAAATGTGACAACATGACATTTTGACAACAACACGAGAGGAAGGCAATAATGACTTATTTTGAAGAACTGAAGGTGTCACCAGGTTGTCATGTTGACGACATGACATTGTGTCAACAACACGAGAGGAAGGCAATAATGACTTATTTTTTGAAGAACTGAAGGTGTCACCAGGTCACCATGTGTCACCAGGTCATTTAACTTCTTTAAAAAATAGTGACAACATGACATTTTGACAACAAACAGAGAAGGCAAAAATGACTTATTTTGAAGAACTGAAGGTGTCACCAGGTCACCATGTGTCACCAGGTCATTTAACTTCTCTGAAAAAATGTGACAACATGACATTTTGACAACAACACGAGAGGAAGGCAATAATGACTTATTTTTGAAGAACTGAAGGTGTCACCAGGTCACCATGTGTCACCAGGTCATTTAACTTCTCTGAAAAAATGTGACAACATGACATTTTGACAACAACACGAGAGGAAGGCAATAATGACTTATTTTGAAGAACTGAAGGTGTCACCAGGTTGTCATGTTGACGACATGACATTGTGTCAACAACACGAGAGGAAGGCAATAATGACTTATTTTTGAAGAACTGAAGGTGTCACCAGGTCACCATGTGTCACCAGGTCATTTAACTTCATTAAAAAATAGTGACAACATGACATTTTGACAACAACACGAGAGGAAGGCAAAAATGACTTATTTTTGAAGAACTGAAGGTGTCACCAGGTCACCATGTGTCACCAGGTCATTTAACTTCTCTGAAAAAATGTGACAACATGACATTTTGACAACAACACGAGAGGAAGGCAATAATGACTTATTTTTGAAGAACTGAAGGTGTCACCAGGTCACCATGTGTCACCAGGTCATTTAACTTCTCTGAAAAAATGTGACAACATGACATTTTGACAACAACACGAGAGGAAGGCAATAATGACTTATTTTGAAGAACTGAAGGTGTCACCAGGTTGTCATGTTGACGACATGACATTGTGTCAACAACACGAGAGGAAGGCAATAATGACTTATTTTTGAAGAACTGAAGGTGTCACCAGGTCACCATGTGTCACCAGGTCATTTAACTTCATTAAAAAATAGTGACAACATGACATTTTGACAACAGTGACGGAAATATGATGCAGCCCAAAAATAAGGTTAGTTTTAAAATTATTTTTATTTTTTTATTCCTATATAAATGACAGCAACAAACAACAACAACAACTTTATCGTTTCTGATGAAAAAGTTATTGATTCATTAGTTGAGGAATTAGTTGTGGCAGAAACTAAAACCCTCAACGAAAGAATTAATGAAAACAAGATTGATTTACATAACTACCTCAAATATGATGGAGGAAGAGGAAGGAAAACTGGTACAGCTTTATTAGTAAATAAAATTTCGAATTTAACGATTATAGATGTTGATATCAATAAATCATACAATGATGAACTTAAAGAAACAGTTAGAAAAGACATTTTATCAAAACTTTCGGATAAAGATGTTATCGTTAAAACCGCTTCAGGAGGTCTTCACATTTATTGCAACACTAATTTCTTCTATTCAACCTCGAACAGAATGATTAAATGTTATTCCTGCAATGATTATGATATTGACATAATGACTTCTATGGATGATTCAAAGCGTTCATTAGTGGTTATGGCTGATTCAAGAGTTCGCAAGAATGCAACAGAACCAATCAATACATACTCATTCATTCGTGGAAGTTATGATTCAACATTAACTAGAACAGTGAATGATATATTAAATGATTTGAATATTAAGGTAAGAGTTGAACAGAAGAATGAAGAAATAAAGAATATAATGAATGAAAACAAAGATGTAAACATTGACGATAAACTTGCCCAGAGCATAGTTGATGGCATCTGTGATTTTGAAGTACATAATGATGGTGGAAACATGAATTTAGAAAAAGAATTTACATTATTCACACTGTTTCAAGCTATTAATTCGTTACCTAATCATTTAATTAATGAAGCATACGATAACGTTTATAACTTCTGCAGTTTAACAGAAAATGCAAAAAGTAATTTTGAAAAAGCACGTGATAGATATGCACATTTAATGACTTCTCCATTTGTTTTGGTAAAGATTCTAAAACTATATCAAAAGGAATATTATGATGAATACGTTTTGCCTTTATTACGTAAGCCAAAAATAACATTTGATATAAAACTTGATGACTCGTTTTTGATAACAGATATTAGACGCAAGGCTGAAAATCATCAGTATAAAAACAGTTCTGAAGTAATTGAGGATTTATCACGTGTCATTCGTTTTGTAGATTGTGGAAACAAATACTTCATTCAAAAAGACTATAATATTCATGATAAAATGAATCAAATATCATTCGTTCTTCAATCAAACATGAAAGAGTCACTCAAAATGATTAAATTATTTAAAGAAGAAGGTAAAACAATAACAGCATGGGACGTACTATTAAATCAATTGTCTTCATTAACCGTTAAGGGTGTTTGCTTTAAATCTGATTCCCCAGATGTTTTCTCAACGTTTCAAGGTTATAAATACAACATTCTCGAAAAGCTTGATTACTCAAAAATTGAGATGTTTATGAATTTCATTAATGAAGCCATTTGTGATAATAACGATGAAGTGTATAAATATCTACTCGGCTGGATTGCATCAATGATTCAACATCCTGGAATCAAGAATGAAACAGCAATTATTTTGAAAGGACTTCAGGGAACAGGTAAAAACAGATTTACAGACATTATTTCTGAACTTCTCGCTGGTTATTCATGCAAAAACATTACTGAAATAAGTGAGTTAACGGGTAATTTCAACTCAGTAGTTGAAAATAAAATGTTTCTTGTACTTAATGAACTCAAGAATGTAGGTGAAGACAGACTCGCAAACTTCAACGCTTTGAAATCAATTATTACGGATAATGAGATTAGAATTAATGAAAAGAATCAACCCAGAAGAACTGCTCAGAACGTTGCAAACTTCATTTTCGTAACTAATAACGTTTACCCTGTCAAAATTGAAGTTGGAGACAGAAGATATGTGGTTTTAAGGGTTAATGGTAAATTTAAGGGTCAATTTGATTACTTCAAGAATTTAATGGATTCATGCACAAAGGAATTTTATGATAATTTACTGACGTATTTTATGCAATATGACCTTTCATCATTTAATGTACGAATCATTCCGATGACTGAAGCCAAACAAGATTTAATTGAATTATCAACAAATCCTTTAGATGTATGGATAAATACACATTATGATGAATTGAATGCAGGTATGACATGTAAAAATGCTCTATTCTGCAAACCATCAGACATGAAAGACAAAAACTTTCAAATGAGTATTAAGGATAAATGTGATAGGAAACAGATAAGAATAGATGGTAAACAAACATGGTGTTATGTTTTGAAAGAAGAAATGAAAGGATTATATAAACAGGTTGAACTAAACGATAATGAGGATTCATTTACTGACGATGAAATACCTGTAAATGATGCTTTATAAAGTATGATTGGAATTTATTTTTGCCTTCCTCTCGTGTTGTTGTCAAAATGTCATGTTGTCACTATTTTTGAAAGAAGTTAAATGACCTGGTGACACATGGTGACCTGGTGACACCTTCAGTTCTTCAAAAATAAGTCATTATTGCCTTCCTCTCGTGTTGTTGACACAATGTCATGTCGTCAACATGACAACCTGGTGACACCTTCAGTTCTTCAAAATAAGTCATTATTGCCTTCCTCTCGTGTTGTTGTCAAAATGTCATGTTGTCACATTTTTTCAGAGAAGTTAAATGACCTGGTGACACATGGTGACCTGGTGACACCTTCAGTTCTTCAAAAATAAGTCATTATTGCCTTCCTCTCGTGTTGTTGACACAATGTCATGTCGTCAACATGACAACCTGGTGACACCTTCAGTTCTTCAAAATAAGTCATTATTGCCTTCTCTCTCGTGTTGTTGTCAAAATGTCATGTTGTCACTATTTTTTAAAGAAGTTAAATGACCTGGTGACACATGGTGACCTGGTGACACCTTCAGTTCTTCAAAAATAAGTCATTATTGCCTTCCTCCTGTGTTGTTGACACAATGTCATGTCGTCTCATTTTTTAAAGAAGTTAAATGACCTGGTGACACATGGTGACCCCCCCTCATTTATTCAAAAATTCTGTAATTTCATTAATGAGGTATGCTGAATTGGAGCTCAGGACTTTCAATCCGTGCGAAACCATGCATAAACTGTCATATAGGGCGGCATGTAATCTTTACTCTGTCCCGTCGTTTGTGTATATCCTGAAACATTATGTGTATGATTACCTGAACCCTGTGTATCGTTCCAGTAACAATTAATAGCAAATTTAACGTCATCTTTAACATCATATCCTTTACCTTTTGTCATTCCTGACCAATCCCAATATCTATGCTTATGCCATCCTGCTTCGGTTGTGTTTAAATTAACGTAATGACTGTGAGCAGGTAAATTTTCACCCGTAATTGTTTAACTTCCACCGGTTTGTTTTGATGAGTTTGTACAATATAAAAAACGATCGGTTATCTGCTGCCATGTACCAAATCCAAATAATGTTGATGGATTTGTTGAATTCATTGATGTATATATTGAACCAATGGGGTAAATCATCACTCAAACATTGTATTTAACTAGTATTAACCCATTCCTTATCTGCTTTCTTCTTTAACTCAGTATTAACCCATTCCTTATCTGCTTTCTTCTTTAACTCAGTATTAACCCATTCCTTATCTGCTTTCTTCTTTAACTCAGTATTAACCCATTCCTTATCTGCTTTCTTATTTAATCCATTATGAATATTGAATTTATTATATAATATTGAAATCGTGTAAGAAGTTAAAATTGGTATTGTCATCAATATTAACATATTATTTTTGAAAATTGCTTTTTTAACATCTTGAAATTTTGTGATTTCAGACCAATTTTTTCCATCACTACTGATATTTACTAAATCACCACATCCAAAAGCAATGAAATACCCATCAATATAAAACAAATTTGTAAATCTATAATTTCGAGTAAATTTTGGAGTGAATGAATAAACCAATTCCCAATTTGGTGTTTTCTCTGGATCCTGTGAAAAATCTTGTGATAAATAAATATGTCTGTTATAACTTACAGGATATGAATACAACATACTACCTGAAACAAGAACACAAACATTTGAAGCATAACATAAAGCTTCAATGTCTCCATCAGCTTGAAAAATTTGTTCAAAACGACCAAATGGTATTGAATATGATCTATAAATTTTATCATTTTGTAGGATAAAACACATGTTGTTAATGTAATACCATTTACTTGTATAATCAATTTTCAAATCTGATGACATCATACTAAACATATAATAATTTATCCCATCCTCACTAATGAAAATTTGATTGACTTCATAAATTAGTACCCATTTATTATTAACACATCTAATAGGATTATTTGGATATTTAAATTTAACATCTTGATTTAAATTACATTTGAACCATTGGATACAATCGAATGAATAACAAGGGCAAAAATCATCTCCAACCGTTATCATTCCCATAAATTTGCCGTTATTATATTCAACATAAAAAATTCTTGGATTAATGATTGGCTCTCGTGTATCAGGATTCAAAACGGATGGAGTAAATGATTCATAGTTTTTAAAATCATTTGTTTTAAAATAATAAAGCACTCCGCCTGTATAAAATAAATACATGGTCACTCCATCGAAACATAACCATTCAATATCTTCAAATGTTTTATCTGATGATTTCATAAAATTTAAAAATGGTGGGGTAAAATAGACCTCCGATTGTTTTATTTCTTCATTAACAAATGATATATCAGCTTTCTTTGCTAACTCAGTATCAACGTATTCCTTATCTGCCTTCTTATTTAACTCATCGTTAACATAAGTTTTATCTGCTTTAAGGTCTAAACATCCTGAAACCCATCCTGTATCAGCTTTAGTTTTTAAAATCTTTGATGTCCGTTCATGATACCATTCAACCTTTCTATAATTTCATTATCTTTTTCATCCACATATTCCTTATCGCCTTCTTCACTAACACACTATCCACATATTCCTTATCTGCTTCTTCATTATGTCATTTAGGAAACCTTTTATGAATTCCTCATTTAAATTAAATCTTCCAATCTTCAAAACTTTAGGAAATGCATTTAATGCGTAATATCTCTGTTCTTCTGGTGGAATTGATGTTATATCATCCGTTATACCTTTAATTTTTGAATTCATAAATAAAATTTCTTTTATATTTGATATCACCGCACCACCTTTGCAAACGAATTCAAAATGGTCATTTTTCAATACTATCTCCAAATCTCCATATTTCAACCTTTGCGTTTGTTCTGCCGTCTTTGAATTATATGCATATGTGGCGTATGTAATGGTCTGTGGTTGCTGTTGTTTAATCATTTATTACGATTTAAAAATAAATATTTAATCCGTTATCTCATCAGCTATTTTTTCTATTTGAAATTGCCATAATATTTCATTCATGAATTCTAAATCACAATCAAATAGGTCAGTTATTCTAAATTTAATATTTGATAAATCTTTTGAATGAAGAATAAATGAATTCCCGGATAATTGAAATGGATATGATAAAGAAAATATGTTTAAGTTGATGGATAAAATGTTTTGTATTGATGGGTAAGAGTTAGGGTCTAATGTTTGATGTGAAAATCTCATTGGGGTATTAACTTTATCACATTTGATTAAAATGAAATTGGAACCAGTGTCAGAATACAAAACATCCCCAACATCTTTTTCAAAATTTAATATCCCCAACAATGAACGAAGACGAGGAGTACAAAATTTAATTTTCAGCGGAAATTTAATAAGGTTATTTATTTCATCAAGTTCAAAAAGTTTATCAGGTTTTGATTTAAAATTTTCTTCATACCATACGATAAATGATTCATTTAAATAACTTAAAATTGTGTTAATATCCCCTCACTATCACATTATTTATATACATATCATACGTTTTTTCATGGTCATCTTTAATAAATGATATATAATCTGAAGGGTCTAAAAGAATGGGATTAAATTTACCACTCACAGAAACGAGAGTAACATTATAAATTCCACTAACTGTTAAATTTAATTCACTATTATTCGAAATAATATTGATAATTGACATTTTTTATTACGATTAAAAATATGGTAAAGCGTTATTTTCCAGTGATAAATAAAACTAGAATAAGATTACCTCAAGAATTCATAAATTCAACGAATAAGAAATTCATTCATGTTATAAATTTTAGTGTTTTCAGAAAATATGAGTCGATGTCATATTCATCATCAGGTTATATTTCACTTCATTCAAATTTAGTTCAATCAAACCCATATAATGACCATTTCATAAGATTTTCAGATGGTATTAAAAATGTAATTGATAGATTAAAATATGAACAGATTGACAATATCGAATTTTTGGAATTTTGGTTTAAATATCCCGATGGAAAAAAGATTGAAGTTAAAGATAAAGCAGATACTATAACAAAAACAATTACAATGACTGATCCGGATAGTGGGGAACAAAAAGAAATAAAACAAACGATAGAAACTGGTGAAAGGTCAATTATTATGATTATGATTCAAAGGATTATTATTCGATAATGTTAATGCTTGAATATTAAATAGCCTTAACAAAGAATTTTTCAAGTGATATTTTATATTCATCAACTATTTTATTATAAATATCATTATATGTTAAATATCTTCAGTTGTTGTTCCGTTCTTTGATATCTTAATTGTGCTAATATCCTTTATAGGATTTATTTTTGCAACTGTTCCGCAGCATGAAACCTCATCATCTATGAAAAATTGAATCTTCACGTCTGAATCTTGAACATCACAAAGAATGGCGATAATGTGAATTAATGATTCATAAGGTAAAATAATTAAACCGGATTGGTCAATTAAATTTATTATTGAATCATAATTATCAGTTATGATATCGCGATATATTTTCATTAATTCAGAATTAATGTCTATTTTATATGGGTTATCAAGTGGTGCTGGGTATGTTGGATAAGTGGGAATTTCAACAGGTTCTTTACCTGGTTCAGATAAAATGATTGGGTCTCCATTCTTTATTTTGCTCCTCCTCTTTTTCGGTAAGTCACGAGTTAATAAATTTGGTTGAGTTGCTGACCTTGTTAATTCAGGACTAACATTAACTTTAACATTTTGAATAATTCGTGATTTATCATCATTTACATTATAACCAACCGTAATCTCTGCTTTTGCGTTTGTGTTCTTTTGACTTGTGAAACGTCTTCTCATTTATAATTGAATAAAAAAAAGAAAAATATATTTAAAGTTTTATTTAGTTGTTACGGTAATATCCCAAGGTTCATCCTTGTTTGCTTATACTTTCTTTGTAACTGCACCAATTATGTTATTGATAATGGTTTGAGTTTCTTCCAGTCTTATTTTATCATTTACAATATCTTTAATCATTTCATT